TCAAGGAATATCATATGTGAATAAGAAATGATACATTTCCAACTTAAGCAGATTGATTAAATATTCTCAGCACAGCAGTATGTTAAAATAAAGTCTCAAATTTGGAGATGCCAACTATAAATGTTCCTTATTATGAGACAAGTTCCCTTAAAATGTGCTCTGTTAAAGCTCCATAAATATCACAAAATTCACAGAATCTAAAAATCTTACTGTATTCTTTTGCTAAAAGGTTTGTGAAAACAGGATTATATTTACTCCTGAGAAAAATTAAAATTACTTTCTTCACTCGGTCTTCACTCTAGACTGTGCTTAGTCAGTCATTCACAATCAACAAAGTAGATTTAAATGAAAACACTTTTCTGTATTCCATAAGGCTAAAATGAACAATTTTTACACAAGACTTGCCACCAAGTATTAAAAAGTATTCCTGATATCAGTGTCTTGCCCATAAACTCAGCAATCTATAAATATGTGTTGATTTAGGTTGATATCAAGGTTCCATTCAGACAGTACTTTGAATGAAAAACCTGTAGTGGTGATAAATTCTGGTGAAAATATACATTGGCATTTAACAATTTAATATGAAGTAGCTTAATGAATAGAGCAATATTCTTTTTTGGCAAACAAGAATATAAATAGAGTAAGCCCATCCGTATCAGCAGGTTCCATCCACATCAGTGGTTTTAACCAACTGTGGATCAAAAATATTTGAGGAAAAAAAAACAATTAAAAAATAAAACAATAAAAACTAATAAATTTTAAAAATACAGTATAACAAGTATTCCATAGCATTTACATTGTATTAGGTACTACAAGTAATCTAGAGATGACTTAAAGTATACGGGAGGATATGCATAGGTTATATACAAATACTATGCCCTTTATATAAGGGACTGGAGCATTCATGCATTCTGGCATCTGTGGACATAGGGGGCGCAGGAACCAGTTCTCCACTGACCCCTGAGGGATGGCTACACAACATGGTGAGGTGGCATACATGGTAACAAAGAGTTTAGTTGTGAAAGGAACATATTTTTAGGATGATAAGACTGAAAAGTCTTTGTTTACCTGACAATATGTCAAGGAGACCAGAGTTTTATGATGGGACCTACTGAAAAGGACACTAACAGTGTTGGCCATTCTCAGACTTCAGAAAGTTTATGCTCTAGTTCTTTGCTGTTGAGCTCTAAACACAGGGAACAGTCACAAGCTAAGTTGGATCCCAGATGAATGTAAGACCGACTCTTGGAAGAGGGGTTTAGTTGCACCCAGAAGCCCAAGCTTAACTTTAGTTGCCCACAATTAACATGAAATCTGTGGATGCCCATTCTGGAAGCCCCCGAGTCCTCTCAGAGCAGCCTGATGGGCAAAACATGTATGCTAAGCTGAAGAAACTCATTCCGTCATCTATGTTAGCATTATAATTTGATTATATTTGGAGCCATTAGAGCCTCCATTGTTTTACTTAGAATGGTTCCATGGGAAATGATCTACGTAACTCCAAGATCATCTGCTTCTAATGAGATATATACAGTTCTGAAATGAATGCTTAAATGTAAATGTCTGCCTTCAAGCAGACAAGACCTCCTGAACGAAGCTGGCAGAAGAGTTTGCTTAGACAACAGCCGTGCAGTGACTCAGCTGTGTTTTCACAACATGCTTCTATCCAGCACCCATGTCTATTTGTAGCCTGACAATAAAGGCCCTATGTGAACCATTTCTGAGTTGTCTGCCTTTAAAAGCAAGGACACTGTTCTCAGTTGACTCATTTGAGCTGCCTGTGCTTTTGAGAATAACCCACTGCCACATTTATGAAGGCATGTGACATAATTGCAGATTATTTTGGGCTTCGCCAATGCTTTTCTGCTTAGTCTTGGTCTAGCGTTTAGAAAAGCGAGTGAAGCCCACTACACACCACTATTGGTAGCTCTTGGAAGTTCTGAAAAAGACTGTTTTCATCAACACCCTAGACTGTAACTGAGATTCAGAATTGGAATGCTTGTCTATTTTGCTCACCTATCTTTATCCCCAGCACTTAAAACACATAGTAGACACTCCATAAATATTTACAAAGGAATGAATTAACCTCTGCCACAGACCTGTGAAATGACTTGGGCTTTCACACCAAATCCATGAAATATTTTCTTGTCCTGATGCCAAGTCAAGAAGACTTCTGCCAGAAAATCAAAAATTTTATATGGTAAAATGTACACCCTTTTAGTGAAGAAATGTTCTTCCATATATTACATTACTTTACGCCCTAATCCTTAAAACTGATAAAACAATTTGTTGAATTTCAGTTCAACAAATATATATTAACAGTCCTTAATTTTCTAACCTTCTTTTTCAGTGTTTCTGCCACCCATCATGACACCTAGATGCACTAAATTGTAGTCTAGGAGGAAGACTTTGCCAATATATCTCTTAAAGGAGAGGGCTTCCAAAGGGAGAGAAAAAAAAATATGTTCTTTGGCATTTTCATTCACAGAAAACTTTAAAACAATGTGTTCACAAATCCAGTGAAATTATCAATAAAGACTATAATATCTCTTAATAAAATAATCATGTCTAGAAAATATTCTCATAAATCTGAAAGTCAACTCCTAGAAGTAATATCCAGCAAAATGTTATTTTAGTGAACTATTTAACATTCTGAAGCACTGGAAGCATTCATGTTTCTCCTGAAGTCTTCAGAACCCAGAAAACAGCTAACTCTACTACAAGGCCATTTCCAGATCATATATCACAGAGGAGAAAATTACTATGCTAACTGCGTATGTTACACAACAGAGTTCTACTTTCCCAAGAACTCATTCATACAGAAGTTAATTCACCTAGGAGGGATCAAAAGAGGCTTCTTCCCTCATGTCAGATGCAGTATTCTAAAACCAAGGCTTATGAGATTACAAAGGATTCCAATTCAATTCAAAAAGACACCAAACTAATACACACAAGAAGTGTTGCAATGTCCCATACTCAAACAACGAGAGGAATGCCCATCAAAAACAATGTTTTGAAATTACCTGCACAAGAAAGCCAAGTTACATTCTGACGCAAAGACAGTTTTGTTCTTACCATCCCCCTCTCAAAACCACAGCTTTATTTTATTTTCTTAACATATGGCTGCCTGTTTTCTCTTCTTCAGGCTGGCCACAGAGTGCCTCCCAGTGCTCTCTTCTCCACTTGTTTTCTTGAAAATGATCTGTTTTAGTTATCATTATGCCGTCATTTAGATGACGAATAGTTGCCCAACTTGGATACAGATCAGATTTTATAAAAACTGTATTACTGATATCACTATTACAACTTAATTTAATCATCCTTATCTTATGAATGAGGAAAAAGAAACAAAAACACTCTCTCAGTAAACTTCATCTCCAAATCCTACCACACTTGTTCTCCACAACCTGTGCTAGGAACACAAGGGTGCATGTTCTTTGGCTAGCACATTATTATTTTTTAAATGTTAGCCAGGTGCCAATATTTAATACTCACCACATTTCACTAAGAATTAGAATTGTAGGCCTCTCTTCAAAAATAAGAAAACGAACTACATAGTCACATGGGAACAAGCAAAGCTGAGTGGTACTTTCCTCTTTCTGATGGAACATATGCTCTTAGAAGACATCACTGTTCCCATGCTGTGAGGAAGCCTCAGCTAGCCATGTAGAAAAGTCGTGTGCAGAGTCCCCAGGCCCCAGCTGTTCCAGACATCCCAGTTCAGGAATTGACATGTGAGTAAAGAAGCTATTGCGCACCTTCCACCTCTGCTGCCATCTGACTGCACGTGTGTGAGGAACTGAAGAGAGAACCACGCAGCTGAGCCCATCAACTTCCCAAACCATGAAGGTGAGTAATAAAACGGTTGTTTCAGGCCTCTAACTTTTGGGGGTAATATGCTATGCAGTCATACACAAGGGCTAAAAGATACAAATGCACTTAAACTAAAACAATTGTTTAAAGTAATCTCTCCCTTTTTACTTGCGTCAACATAGATGTGATAGCCTCCATCTCATTTTTGTATTTCGCCAAAAATCTAGAACATGAATGTATCCAGGAAAGAAAACTAAAGTAGAAGAAAAGCAATTATTTGGAATTAGCTGTATTTTTTTTTTTTAGACAAGCTGGCTGGCACCACTTATGAATATCATAAAGGTTAAATAATAATAAGTAGCAAGGTGAAGAATACAGTTTGGAAAAGGCTTGAATCTGGTTCTTTTTTAAGGAAATCGCCTTCATTTACTACTCTACTTTCAACACTTAACACATTGCCTTTTTTTTAAAATGACTGGATCAACTAAAAGTAGTTTTGTGTGTACTTTTTCTGATTGGTTGAGAGAATTTAAAACATCTTTTCCATCACTGAAACATTGCTATTATTGTTGCAAAAGGAAGGCAAATAACATCTGCAAAGTAACCAGCAAATTGTGGTCACAATTAATTGTATATAAGTCAAGTCAGAGTCTTTATAGCTTAATGAGAACCAGGTCCACTTACAGAGAAACAACTCTTGGCTTGTATTCATTAAACCCAAATTACACAGGTAGGCATGCAGATCTAACCTTGAGCAGGTCGCTTAATCATTTGATGCTATATCTTCATGTGTAAAATTAAGCTAATCATATATTCTCAAAAAAAGTGTAATCCCCAAGTTGAACAGAATATGGTCTGCATACTCAAGGTACTAGAGATTAACCCTTGTGCACTGCATAGTGTTAAAGTAGCTGAGATGCTTTTGCCCAAATAGAATTGTGTATCTTCATTTCCTTCCCTTCTTTCCCCTACTTGTGACTCAAGCCAGATTTCATCAAGCTATTTTTGTAATTACTAAAATACTGAAAATATAGCAGCAGGCCAGAAGCAAAGTAAAATGCAGCATCCAGTAAAAGAAAGAAAATCACGCGGAGTGACTGAAAGGCCATCTGCTTCTTGCCGAGCTGTAGGGGTGAGGAAGGCAATCTGGGCTGTACTATTTGCGTCTGCTCCAAAACCATACCCACCTGCATGTTGTCAGTGGCATCCCCGAGCAGCCCTCCAAAAGTGATGGCGTTTGTTACAGTTGCCAGATAAATGAAGAGAATGGCCGAAAGAGCCTGAATATTTAAAGCGTCATAAAAATCACTGGCAAAAAATGGTGCTTTCCTCTTGATGTCCTTAATGAGTCCACCACAGAACCTAGGCAGGGGAAAGCAGACATAGAACTAAGGGTAAAATTGCCAAGTTGACCAGGAGATAACTCATCACAAAGAATTTATATTTAAAGTATCTGAGTCAATGACAGCCCTTAACCACATAACATGAAACCAGAAAACTGTGAAGGAATACAGTTTATTCTATCTTTCTTTTTTGGCTACCAAATTAGGTGTCACACTCCCTCAAGACCAGTCAGTTGATCTTTAGGTAAAAGTAAACCATGCAGATAAGTTAAAACTTTTCTTTACCCAAAGAAAAATATCAAATTATGTGAGATTATATTGCGGCCTTTATCGTCTTGCCATAGTGTCCTTTCCACCCTCATTCATTCACTCACTCACTCATTTTTTTACCCATTCTTTCATCCCACAGATGTTTATTAAGCACCTCTGACACCATTCTGGGTGCTGAGGATACAACAGTGGACAACATGGGCCAAAAAGCCCTGCCTTTCATGAGATTGGCTTTGGGAGGTGAGGCAGACAAAAAACAAGATAAATAGGTAAAAGCATAGTGCTAAAAATCAAGGGAAGAAGTAAGTGGAGAAGAGAGTTTTGTTAATTGGAGAAGAGGTGGCTGAAATTTTAGATAGGGTAGTTGCAACAGGCCTCCAAGATGGTAACTTTGGGGTAAGAACATGAAGGGGGAAGCCATGCACACCTGTGAAGAGGAAGGTGCAGTTGAGCCCCATGACAAGCGTCAGCAGGTCAGAGGAATGACTCACACATCAGTCTACTCACACTCCCAGGGGAGTTCTCAATCTCATACCTCAGTCCTCCCATGCCCTGGTGTTTGCCTACAATACCCTCTTCCAAAGTTCAACTGCTCTCATCTGAAGTCTTGGCCCTACAGGGGCATATGTCCACTCTGGGCTATCACACTTTATCAGAACTGTCTATCTGTTTGGGCACCCACTGAACCTTAGCTGCCTCAGTGCCCTGCTTGAGTTTTCTTAGAATGCACAGAAACTGTGCATGGCTCTGGGCATATTATAGACACTCAGTGCACTTAGGAAAAGTGAGCTATGGAAGAATAAAATACAATCTAATTAAACAAAAAATTAAATTCAAGAACTCATATCTGTAGGAAAGGAAAAGGATATTCCTAATGGGAATAGTTTACAAATAACTATTTTGTAAAATGGGGGAGAAAAAAAGGTTGCATTGTATATTCTCTACTTTTAAGAAGAAAAGAAAGGGAAATAATTTCCTGATAATTTGGGAGAGAAACCCAAGTGGGTCATCAGAAGAAGAAAATAACTTCATTTTATTCCGATTCAACTGCATATTGAAATGATGTACTTTTGGGGTTGCAAAAAAGTCCTGCCATATTTTTTAAGTTTTATCTTCATAAAATAAGTATCCCACTTAAAATTTTACCAAGTCCAAACTAAAATGAAGACGCTAACAGTGGAGAAGTAGACTTATGAAAAGAAATTAGATGCAGCAAGCTGGGAAGCCCGAATTCTGGCTAAGAAGACAAAACAACGACCCATCAGCCATGCCTTTCTCTACAAATTACTCACATTTGAATAAGTGTGCAGGTGAGAGATGGAACCATGAAAGTCAACTTGGGAAGGATGGCACGCCAGCCAGTTCTCCCGCCATCTCTCTGACCCCCACTCTGCCACCCCATGGTCTCACCTCTCCAGTCACGTGGCCTCACTGCCAGCCCAGCCACATGCCAGGCACTCTATGCTGCAGCCTCTTTCCCCTGGCACCCATGGGGTCTGTATCCCATCTCCTTCAGTACTTTCCTAAAAGGTTGTCATTCTCATAAGGCTTTCTCTGACAGCTTGGTCTAAAATTGGAATGCGATTCTTCATTTCCCAAAGTCCTTATTTCTGCCTTGATTTTCCTCATAAAGCCATCACCACACTTTCTTATTTGCCTACTGTCTGTCTCCTGTCATCCCAAGGTCACACCCATAAGGGCAGTAAGCCTCATTTAATCCACTGTTATATCCCCAGCGCCTGTGATGAGCAGACACATTATACATATTTGTTGGCTAAACAAAAGAACAAACTAGTAAATAAAATGCTGATAGAAAGACGAAGGGCAACTTAGATTTCAGGAGAGTTTTGTCATGAATGGCGACAGGATCTGTCAGTTACCGTCCAGTTCTCTGTAGTTCTTCACAATCCCCGTGTCCTCCTCCTCCATGTCCTCCATCATGGGGCGTGTCCCCATTCATCTGAACGCTCTCTCCACCTGAGTACATATTCTTTCTAAGCGAGACAACAGAGCCCAAGAGTATATTAGTTTATTTGTTTGCTTCTTAGCTGTATCATGGAGTGGCTAACGGAGAGATGGAGTGAAAACCCTTTGGGAGAGAGATTATTACTTCTTCCTGCCATCCTAACAAGACAATTCTTGAGGTATAATATTTAGAGCCAAGAGAAATGACTGAAAGAATAGGAAAGTTTAATGAGCTATATGTCTTATAAGAGGAAGACTGTTTCACCTGGGAAATCATAGATTTTCAGAAAATGGTTTCTCCCTAACTATCTTACCTAATTTCTTAACCTTGTAAATCTTCAAGGACTCATCTTCAGTAAACTGATCTTTCCGCATGTACAAGGAGTCCCCAAGGAATGAATGTGACACATTCCCATATCGTAATCTGAGATCTCTGAGTTATAACAACTGAAGAACATCACAACATATAACATTTATTTTACAGTGTCCAGGAAATGTGAAACCGAGACACATAAATGATTCATTTGATGAAATACATCAAATTAAATGGGAACCTGAAAATATTAGAGCAACAGCCTGACCTCACTTTCTTTAACACAACCTCTTTCCCAGGCGTATCCCAGCAACTGAAATTTCTCAATTGCCTGATAATTTACCTTTTATCAGATGATGGAAGACTCTTAGGGGGCTCTATCCTGATTGCTGGATCCCATTCCCCAGGTGGAAGGACAATGACTTCATCTAGGAATTCATCAATGCCAGCAATCAGGTCATGCCTGTCTTTTGCTTTATAAGCAATGTCATGGAACACCTAAAGAACAGTAAAAGATATGCTGATCCAACAAGAGAACTCTCTGCGTGTCTCACACCATGTCAGGTCTTAAGAATGTCCTCACACCCATGCCAAGTTCCATAACCCACTGTGATATTCCACATCCATGCTCTTCTAGTTCCTATTGTTTAGCCTGCCCCCAAATAGGTAGGTATTCAGATTATGATCTCAAAGAACAGAGGTAGAGGCATGAGAAATAGCAATGGTTTTATGTGTTTTTTTTTCCTATCAATATTGTAAAACAACATTGCCTTTCAGCTCCCACTCGTATGTGCCACTACTGATACAGTTGCTATGGAAACCAGATGAAAATGGTTTGGAGAAATAGACTGAGAAGTCATTCCCTGAAATGAAAACAGTTGCGACAAACTATTCCTGATAATTCAAGGAGGAAAAGTTCAAGCTGAGTGTTAAGATCAGGTTAAGATCCAAACACTGCAGTTCTCAAACACACGAATAATATGAGATATTAAAGAAAAATCTGAGTGCTATTAGCAGCTCATTATTAGAGGCTCATCTGTCTATCTTTTAGCAAGGCAATGACTAAACCATCTAAGGCAGCAAATGTTTCATATCCTTTATACATACAGAGGTCCAAAGAAAGAGGTTTGAAAAACGTACACAATCTTTTTTGTCAATCATTCCATTCTTCTAACTGAGCTGATGATCTGAAAGTTCTTTACATATAGCCTAAGTCTTTCATACATCATAAGCAAATTCTTTAGTCTTCAGAAGAGAAGATGGCCCCCATTCAACACCCTTATCTATCCTTAAAACTGCTAACTAAATCTCTTCTCCTGGAAATTTATTTTTAAGAGCTATAAATTAAGTAACATTTAACAGTCTGGAGCTTGTGGAGGGGAGGGGAGGGTGATACAAAATGACAGCACATCATCTGTGGCAGACCCGGCCATCTTCAACCTCATTTTCTCTTGCTACTCCCAATTAGAAGCTGGAAAGTCAGAGACTCACTTTCCCTGTCAGCCCTGCAGAGAAAGACTGACAGTCCCAACCCATAAGATATAAGAAAAAGGCTATCTTGAGAAAGTTTTAGATCACCTGTTAAAAGAGACAGAGGCAATTACATCACCCCACCCTTCTTCCTATCCTAAATATAAATGAGATGACTGGAGCTGACTACAGACCATTTTGTTTTACCATATTGATGGGGGTGGGGGGGGGTGCCATCTAAGACCATAAAGCAAGAGCTTGAGCTCTTGATCTATCATTAAACAGTTAGGTTAAACCAACTCCAGCAATTCCTACCTCTAAAATTGTTACGTGAGAAAAGCAAATCCCAAATTTTTAAGCCACTATAAATCTGTCACTTGCAGTCTAAGGTATTCCGAATTGATACATCATGAGGAAGGATTTTTAAAAAGAGAGAGACATTATTAAAATATAAAAAATAAATAAATGAACTTACTAAGATGAGGAAAATAAATGTTCCCTTGAGGAGAAAAATCGGCATAGCCATGCTTCCATGCTCTCAGTCCCAGAATAAAGTAACCACCTGAGTAATCACCATACAGAGTTTCTATAACTAAAGAGAAAGGGACCCTATTCTCCACTCAACACAAGGAAAATTGGACAAATCAAGCAATGAAGCAAAAGCAAAACATTTGGGGAGAGAGTAAACTAGAAAGACACAAAATCAGAAATTAATAATCCAATTTTTTTTTTTTTGAGTTGGAGTCTCACTCTGTCGCCCAGACTGGAGTGCAGTGACCGCTCCTGGCCATCGCAGCCTCGCCTGCTGGGCTCCGGCGATCCTTCAGCCTCAGCCTTCCAAGTAGCCGGAATTACAGGCATGTGCTACCACGCCCGGCTGATTTTTTTATTTATTGTAGAGATGAGGTCTCACTGCCCAGGCGGGTCTCGAACCCGCTGGCTCAGGCAATCCACTCACCTCAGCCTCCCAAAGGCGCAGGATTACAGGCTGAGCCACCAAGCCCGGCTAATAATCCTATATTTTAACTGTATTTCTCCTCCTATGAGACTAGTTCAGAGTTGTATCATGTTCAAAATGCATGTAACAGCATTCAAGCTGTTTTTAGAGTAAATGGGGTCATAATTCCAAAGCACCTGTATTAGACACTCTGTTGGAATGGTTGATAATGCATTTTGGGATGTGTATCATTCCTTACCACAGAACAACAAAATCATAAACACATGCTATTTCTGATACCTAAGGGAAAAATGCATTATCCATTTTATTATGCATTATTTTATAGAACCAGTCATTTCTGAAAAAATATAGCATGTAGTTATTTGGATTCCCAGAATTTATATGTAAACAATTTAACAGAAAAAGTTTAAGTTAATACAACAACTTTGAGCTTTTTCTTTCTTTCTTTCTTATTGTAGAGACAGGGTCCTACAAAAAACTCCTGGCCTCCAGTGATCCTCCTGCCTTGGCTTTCCAAAGTGCTGGGATTATAGGCATGAACCACCAGGCCCGGACGATCTTGAAGTTTTTAAAGAATATTTAGCATACATCAATTTTAAGAATTAAAAATGTTTACAAAAAGAAAAGAAAATATGTTTTATTCCAACAAAGAGTTTGGAATCCAACATAAAAACAAAGGGCATGCCTTGCTTTCTGAAAATGGTAATAGGAGCCGGGCACGGTAGTTCAAACCTGTAATCCCAGCACTTTGGGAGGCCAAGGTGAGAGCACTGCCAGAGACCTGGGATTAGAGACCAATCTGGGCAACTTGGTGAGATCATGTCTCTACAATAAATTAAAAACATCAGCTGGACATGGTGGCATACGCCTGTAGTTTCAGCTACTTGGAAGGCTGAAGCAGAAGGATCACCTGAACCCAGCAGGTCGAGGCTGCAGTGGCCATGAGTATACATACCACTGCACTCCAGCCTGGGTGACACAGTGAGACTCCAACTCAAAAAAAAACTGCTGAATAGGAGTCAGCTCATTTGCCAGCTACGACTGTGCCTCATGTCTGGTGAAGAAGCCTGGTAACCACATAATGCCAAGAGAACACATAGTGGCAGCCAACTCACAGGATGAACATGACTCAACAGCCCCAGAACCCCATCTTCTTGATTCCTACCTCATCAGACATCAAGGTAGCGATGGCTCTGCCAATCTCGTGGTAGGACTTGGCTTTCCCCTTCGGACCTAAGAGAATGAACAAGAACCTAGCAGAAAAGGAAAGAAGCAAAGTCTATAACACACACTTCATCAAACTCAACATACATAAAACTGGCAGACATGTAGCCTAGTTCATAAAAAAGCTGGATCTAGAATGCAACTTCGAAACAAACGCAATATTCTTGGTAATATCAAGAACATTCTTTCACACTATTGTGAAACAAAATTCAATGTTAAGTTTATTTGGAGACAAAAGAGAATGTATACCAGAAAACTTAGAAGATTTTTTTTATTGAACAGGAAAGGCTCAATGTATGCACCTTATGAGTCATTCTATCTTTCTCTTTTAAACTTTTCTTCTTGCACCATTCCTACTGACTCTCAGAATCATTGGTACAAACCCATTAAGCACAATAACTAGAAAGTCTTAGTACATCTTCACATTTCTCTGACTTTTCCTTACCCAATATGGGAAGTGACAGAGGATTGTCACCATACTTTAAAAAAAAATGTTTCTACGCAGAAGTGACTGAGAGTCAACAAAAAACAAGTCTTTGGGCAACCTCCTCGGGTCCCCTCCTTCTGTGGGAGCTTTTCTGTGCTCTCAATAAATCCTACTTAAAAAACAAACAAACAAACAAACAAAAAAAAAAACCTCTACAAGAAAAAAGTTTTCTACAAGTAAGCCACATACTGACAGTCAAAGCAAGGAAATAGAAATTCAAAATAAAGTATCATTCACAGTCAGTTAAAATTCTTTTGTGGGTGTCCTCATTTTCATTTCCAAACCTTTTTTTTCTTCACAATGCACAAAACATGGCTCCATAGCCAATAAAGCCTGAAACATGCAATAATGAACCTATCCTCACTTAGGTTCACTTTGTATCATGGTAGGAGAAAATCCTCACTAATCATAGGGGAAAAGACGTGTTTCCCTGGGGAAGGGGACCTGAGAAGCAAATGCGTAAGAAAAAATATACAAAAGGTGACACTGGATAAATCCTTGTCTTGATGATGTCCTACCTAACGAGGAGACAATGAGAGCAATAAAAATGATAACCTGATATGCTTACATAGCTTTCTAAAGCCTGCAAAGCATTTTCACATTTGTCACGTTAAGTTTCCAAACAACCCTCTGCAATAAGAACAGGTATCCTATTTCAGTTTGATGGTGAAAACACTGAGGAAGAAGGAGGTTAATGGATGAGCCCAAAGACTGTGCTTGGCAAATGACACGGAGTAGACAGATCGGCCTTCTTGCCGCCTGTCTTTTCACCACACAATTCTGCCTAATATCACCTGCCCAGTGGATATGTCAGTGTGGTGATTCAACAAAGAAAAGTTATCCAACAATGACTTCCATAGATCACCCTGGGGAAAGAACTTATGGATACTTAACGAGGTACAAGAAACCTTAGGTAAAATTTTATGGTCCCAGAATTGGCTTAGCACTTTGCTTAGGAGAATTTTATTTTTTACTTATTTGCTTATATGTCTCACTTCAAATAAAAAATGATTAGTAGCAAGTACTTGGGGTCTATTCCAAAATGCCCTTGAATGTTTACTTTGAATGCCCGTGAATAATGACTTTTGTTCATCATAAAATTAAACCAAAAGGTGATTTTTTTAAAGACCCAGAAATTCATTGGTACAAATCCAATAATGTAAAAAAGGTGTCTAAAGGTTTGAATACACAGATTTTATTATCAGAGAGTAACCATAAAACCAGTTAGCACTTATTTACTTAAAAACCAGTTCGGGAGTGAAGCAGCACACTCGCTTTCAAGTGTTATCATCATGGACGAAATAGCAAAAGAAATCAGCAGACACAAAAGTCTGTTCAAGTATGTAAGGAGTCATTATTAGAATTGAATTTTAGTTCTTCCAACACTGAAGTTCAATTGCTGCTAGAACCTTCCTTTCTGTGAAGCCGGCCCCCAATTTTATACCCCTGCATATAGTGCTTCTTGATGACAGTAAACTGTATTTTTCTAAAGGAACTGATCATTGATTTGAGTGCAGTACATACAAAAAATCTTTAACCACTAAAGCAAAACACAAATCCCATTAAGAAACACTAATACTAGTATTGGCCACCCTTCCCAACTCCATTTGCCTGTCTACAAAGTGCCTAACAGCACAGTAAGAATGTGAGCTTAGGCCAAAATAAAGAAAAGAAGTGGGGCAGATGCTGTGTCGACATAGTACATTTTTAAATAATGGATTTCTTTTGCTTCCATTTTTATTATTTCAGTGTACCTAAATATTAACTTTTCGAAAATGCATCACATCTAAAGCTTCCCCAGTACCACTCTGTATTTCTTCCTACCTCTCCCTATCACCTCCATCATGATTACAGCCCACAAATAGACATTATAGATATGTATTTATCAACTGATACAAGTTAATTATCAGGTTGTCTCTATGACAACAAAGCCAGACAATACTTTCTTGTTAGTGAGAAAAACACTCTCAGTCAGTAAGAGTTCTCAAACATAAACTTCGGCAGATGACTGGTAAGTATTCTGAGAGCTGACAGAGTAATGAAGCCTCCAAGGTAATTCCTGTGAAAGGAGGGAACACATCGTCTATTACATATTTATTCTTGGGTCTCTGCTAAGTGGTGCCAGTCAAAGAATGAATGAAAGCAGCAGATTAATGGTGTCAATAACACACATTGTAGCAATAAACCCAGTATACAAAGATTATATTGATCCAGTAACCTAAATATAGATATTCTTCTTCTTTCCTGAGTAGTGTAATTTTTTTTTTTTTAAAGTTCATTTCTTTATTAATGGAATACCACCAAGTGCCAAACAGAAACATGGTGGCATATCAATTAAAATTTTCACACTACTCCACTCAGGAACAATTCAGTAAATCTGCCTCCTAAAATGATACACAGAGGGAACCCAAGCATCCATAAACAGCAAGAAACATCACCTCAAGTCAAGGATTTAATTTGTAGGCATGAAAACCCTTAAGAAGTCTCTAATCTGGACTGTATTATTGAACCGGGAAGAGAGATCTGAGAAAACTAAACACACAGGACAAGCTAAAGTTTCCTTTGCCTGAAACATGTTCTCTCTCCTATAGCCTTCAAAGAAGCGAAGTCTGTTACAACTTTTATGATCGAAGTACATCCTGCCAAACTCAGCTTTTATAATGTTCTGAAAACTCCTTTCATGACCCAAGCTGTTTTTTGTCAATGGACAGATGTTATTTTTAACCAGAAGCTTTTTTCTTTATTAACAAATTAGAGTAAACATCACATTTGTGTGACTGGAAGGGCACAGCCCATGTTGACAGCTCAGAAAAAAGAATAATTGATGTTACTGAATTCTTTTTATTCACTCATAAATAGAAATAAGTCAGAGTTAGAATTTTTAATAGTGCCTAGTTGCCTCGAGAATCTTTATGAGGCCCTTTTCTACTTTTGTGAGCTTCTTTATACAGCTAATTATGCCTAGGGAGGATGCCTCTAGCATTCTCCACAACAAAAAACAAAAAGCACTTACCAGATGATCTGTGTCTGAAACCAAAGGCCTACACTCACTTTCATAAAATAATTACAGGCAAAAACAGAGCATAATATCAGAAAAGGAGCCAGCCTTCCCAAACCACTCCATTTTTTTTTTCAGAAAGGATGTGCACCACCCTCCCCCCAATAAATCACAACTATTTCTAGAATAAACCCAACATGTACCAATCCTTTACTCCCTTCTCTCAAAATAACAGTGAACTGAATAACCACTTATTCATCTTCAACAGCATCGGAAAGTGTGGTTAAACTGTAGCTTTCACAATAGATTCACGAGGACCACAAACCCATCATAATCAACCACATTCATGTGGTAAATAGCAGCTAGTCAGTAAACTAAACTGAACAAGCAAGGCCTGCATTCCAATTCTTCTAATTTTTTTTTTTAAATTTTTATCTTAAAGATGTGGATACAATTCAGGGTTAGGTATACAAATGCTCATTATGCTGGTACCCTTGTTGATATGACTTTTTTAAAAGATGATTTTGACAATTAAGCACAAAATGTTTCTGCTAGGCAGATAATTGTTCATAACATAAAATATATATTAACTTATAGTTAAAGGGTAAGCATCCTAATTTTTTAAGAGGCCTTGAGCTTACTGAACAACAATTTGCTCTAGTGCAAATCAAGATCAGAAAAGGACAAGCTGTTTTTATTATTCTTAAAGGGAGAACACTAATCTTAGTTATTCCAATGCATTCTAGATAGCTCTCTTAGGGTCTGAAACCTGTAGTTCTACTCCTGGCACTGAAGGTGAATCTGCCCTTTGCCTTGATCTCTCAACTGTAAAATGGTAATATGAATCCCTTATACAGCTCAGAAATATGAGTTAGTGGTGGCTTCGTGCACAGATATAGGGTGACAGCAAGCAAAGTGCCTCCAAGATGCTGGGAAAATCATGAACATCACCTACCAAGTTGTCAAAGATCAAAGAACAGAGTTTCTTTGCTTTCATATGAATAGCAAGAAGGGCCCCTACATAAAGAGACATTCACCCAGACGATAGTGGCCCAGTGGCAAGGAAGGCTACAACAGATCAACCAAGTGACAGAGTGAATGGAGAAGCATGTGAACACTACACAAGAAAGGGGAGCTGCTGTAGCCACACTTCCTTTAAGGTATGTGGTAGTAACACTGCTTATTTAAAATAGTGATAATAATAACAATAGCAGCATAACTTTCCCTCATCTTTGAAAGGAAAAATATGTACACTCGAGACCCGCCTGGGCAGCGAGACCTCATCTCTACAATAAATCAAAAAATCAGACGGGCATGGTAACGCATGCCTATAATTCCGGCTACTCGGAAGGCTGAGGCAGAAGGATCGCCAGAGCCCAGCAGGTCGAGGCTGCGGGGGCCGGGAGCGGCCACTGCACTTCAGTCTGAGTGACAGAGTGAGACTCCAACTCAAAAAAAAAAAAAACCTAAAAAAATATGTACACAAAAACAGACTTTTCAGGTGTTGCCGAAGTCCCACAGAAGAGCACGCATTGTAAAGCACATAATAGAATGCACACAGTCCCACAATGATGGCCACATTCCTTGTGGAATTTCCTTTATTGGATTTCACAGGATGCAGCCCTCATAAATGGTCCCACATTACTTACACGCACACACGAGAAAAAAGCTAATGGGGCTTCCTACTCAGTGATTACAGCTTGCACTGGTTTGGAGGACAGCAAATGGATAAAACTATTTCCTGGAAAAATGTGACTATGCAAGAATTTATTATTCAGACAATTACCCTGAAATAGTTTTATAATATTATTGAATTACATCCTTTTGAATTGTGTGGCTCCTTTTGTTAATTCAAATGATGCCGTTTTTCACCTCTAGACTAGCACTACCTTCTAGTATGAAAGGAAAAAAAAAAAAAAAAAGAAATGAGCCAGACAAGAGCACAGGATAAGCGGGATAAAAAATTGGTCATGATTTGCTACTTGGTGCATGCCTATTATTGTTAAATAAGAATCCTCTTAAAATATTTTTATTTGTATCTTCTAGAGAAAAATGGTAATAAAAATGAAAAGGCAAAAGCAATTTTCTTTAACGCTTCTTGGCATTTTTTTTCTTTCAAGCCCCAGTAAAGATAGTCCAAAGAGATGTAAATAAAGCCATAGGGCAGGGGGCTGGACTCCAGCCATTATCTGACTCAGCTGTTCGCCAGGTGATTGCACAGATAGAACTGCAAGACTCTGCTGGAATGTTTTCAAGCAAAAACCTAAGTTACAGAAAGCACAAATCACAATAATCCCATTAGTCGAATAAGCTATGATCATGTCCTTTCCATTGCCATTTGTCCAATGACTGTATCATTCCTACTTAAGTGTCTAGGAAACATAAAAAGGGGTTAAAAAGGAAAAACCCAGCCGGGCTCGGTGGCTCAGCCTGTAATCCCGCGCCTTTGGGAGGCTGAGGTGAGTGGATTGCCTGAGCCCGCGGGTTCGAGACCCGCCTGGGCAGCGAGACCTCATCTCTACAATAAATCAAAAAATCAGCCGGGCGTGGTAGCGCATGCTTGTAATTCCAGCTACTTGGAAGGCTGAGGCAGAAGGATCGCCGGAGCCCAGCAGGCGAGATTGTGGTGGCCGGGAGCGGTCACTGCACTCCAGTCTGGGCGACAGAGTGAGACTCCAACTCAAAAAAAAAAAAAAAGGAAAAACCCTGTATCATCAGGAAGAATGCCCTGTGATCTATGAATTGAGAGACCTTAAAGAAATCTTCTCTTAATTTTCCTACTAACTGGGCTCAAAACAAACCTTGGGTCTCTTTTCACTGTCAGTGAATCATGCTCAGGCCATCTGAGCTGAGGAGAATCCATCCATCACTGAGGAGAATTCATGACCCCAGCTGCTCACATGAGGAGACCTCAAGAAAAGAAAGTCACCTGTCCTTGCTCTGGGACCCACAGAAAGCACCCTCCTCCAAAAAAGTCCTATTCATCGGACAATTTTCTGATGTCAACCTAAAGATTACAAGTTCTCTCTAAACTCTTCTTTTTTGTTTTTTGTTTGTTTAGTTAGAGTCTCACTCCATCACCCAGGCTGGAGTGCAGTGGCACACTCACGGCCATCCCAGTGTCGATCTGCTAGTCTCCAGCTATCCTTCTACCTCGGCCTTCCAAGTAGCCAGAATTACAGGTGCACACTTCCAAGCCCGGCTAATTTTTTTTATTTATTGTAGACACAAGGTCTCACCAAGTTGCCTGGGCTAGTCTCGAACCCACAGGCTCAGGCAATCCACTCGCCTCGGCCTCCCAAAGTGCTGGGATTACAGGCTGAGTCACCGAGCCCAGCCAAACTCTCCTACAGCAAAAACGTAAGGTCAAACATTAACTTCTATTCAACTCACTGCACTCCATAAGTCAAGCTTCCTAGCTCTACGGAGCTCAGTTTCAGAGGCAGATGAAGGGGATGACTTCTCAGGTACTGAGCCATGCAATGAGCATGTGAATATGAAAACATTCATATGCTTCCTTTTAAAATAAAAATTTGTGTCACATGATATACATAACAGTAAAGCATGCAAGTGTACAGCTTAATGATTTTTACATGTGTTTACGTATATGTATGTATGTATGTACCCACTACCAATTTTCTGATAAAACATAGAGCAAATGAAAGCAATGAAAACATCTGAACCATTTTACTACCTGTATGACCTTAGACAAGTTATGTAAACTCTCAGACTCGGTTTCCTCATTTGTAAAAACCAAATAACTGTAGTTTGTACTTCAAAATATTACTGTAAGGATTAAGTAGGATTATTCATAAGAAGAAATGGGTGCATTGCCCAATATATTATTATGATTGCTATTATTATTACTATATAAGTGCCAAGTAACTTGATAATATAAAAGTCAGACAGCCATTATTTAGCTAAAACCTCTTCAATATGTTTATATGAAAGATATACTCATTCTATTGATTCTTTAGCCTGAGAGGGAGTAGGCTTCCCTATAAGCACACAGTAGACCCCAGCAAGCCAGAGAGCAGCTTACCTTGTGGGCACAGGAACCTCTGTCAAGGCACCCAGCATGACAGCCTGCTGTAGCCGAACAAAGGCAATGAAAGGGGTATCCAAAAAGTCAACTTCTCCGACAAGCACATTGGAAGCTTCTGCATCACGTGGCAGTTTTTTCATGAACTTATTCTTCAGCTGCATGAGAAGAAGCAAGAAAACACAATTTGTGTCAGGGAAGGGAACAAAAAGAGATACCCCATGTAGCACTCACGGGAAAATTCCTTTATTCAAATCTACATGCAACATGTCCTAGCTAATCACTTATATATTTTGTCTGTTCTATTATAATAAGCATGTATCTGTCCCTTGGATTCGCAAATATTAAGAATATAACCATGCGGTTTACATATAAAACAATGTATAGTGAGAAAGGGATTGGCAGTAGCGGGATACTGCCGGGGCAGGGGAAGGGACACAACATCAATAAGGATACCTGATCTCAAACGAGGCAAAGTGGGAAAGAAAGGGAGACCCAAACTTTACCTGTTTGATGACCACTTGTATAACCTAATCCTGAATTGTACCCCACATCTTTAGAAATATTAAAAAATAAATAAAACCTTCCTGTTTGCTTTTTTTTAAAAAAAAAAAGCAAAGTACAACTTCATTCACTTATGTATTCAATCACTCAATGAAAATTTGTTGAGTGTCTACTATGAACCAGGCAATGATCTTAGCCTTAGGGATACAGGGATGGAGAGATTAATGTATCCCATGTCCTCCTTGGGCTTATATTCTCACAAGGGAAAATAAAATGTGATTTAAAGTGGTGACAAGTACAAAGAAGAAAAATTAAAACAGGCATGAAGGTACTATTTTAGAGGGATTAGGAAAGCCCTCTGAAGCAATTCATTTTATACTGAAGTAAGGGGACAAGCTAGGCAAAGATCTGAGCAAAGAACATTCTAGACAAATAGAATGACAAAAGCAAAGTCTCTGAGATAGGAAAGAGCTTGACAGTTAGAGGAAGAGTAAGAAGCCAAGCATGGCGGCAGCTGAAGGAGTAAAGGAAGTTGCATAGCTAAGTGGGAAACAAGACTGAAGGTCCCATAAGGCCACAGGAAGGAATTCTGGAAGTGTTAGATAGGAGTTGCCTATCAAAAGTCCAAGTAGAAAGGTGGGTATACATTTGGGAGACATCACCATGCCAATAGTATTTAGGTCCATGAGACAGGATGGCACAATCTTAGGTGTGAGTGTAAATAAAGAAGAGGGGTAGATGGAAACCCTGGACCACTCTACCTCTTATAGGAAGAGGAAAAGACATAGGTAGAGAACACTGAAAAAGAAGTTGAAAACCAGGAATTCAACAGCCAGGTAAAGAAAAAGTTCAATAAGGAAAGTGTCAGCTGGACCACAGGTTGCTGAAAGTTCAAGACGGGAGCTAAGAAAACACCAGTGAATTTGCAAGACTGAGATGCTGGAGGATCTTGACAAGAGCCATTAGAGGACAGGGAGTAGAGATGATTATTCTGAGAAATATTGCTATCAAAGTTGAGAAATACAGAGATCGATGGAGATTAGCATAAAATAGAGGAGTTTGTTTTTTAATTTGAGATAGAACTGTTTTATTTACAAACAGAATGCAGCTTGTAACCAAATGTCAAATAACTGGTTGAGAAGTGAAAATCCATCAGATTTCTTATTTGGTGCAATATTCATAGGTAAACATAGAGTAAAACTTACCAATTAAAAAAAAATTAGTTAAACCAGCTGTGAGCCAAAATTGCAGTAAATTAGAGAAACACCATTTTATTTAATGAGTTATGGTCTTTAAGTCTTTTTTGTTTCTCACAATCCTCACTTTTTTAACTAGAAAGAAGATGACTGGGGAAAAGAAGCAGAGGTTTGATTTTGAAGAGATGTTTTTATTAAAGTTCTCGTAGAAGAATTTGAGAACAGTGTCCAAACATTACTAGTTACTTACTGATTTCTTGAATCCTTGACTACCTTTTCTTCACAAAATCAGATAATGGAGAACTACTCTGCTTTTCTTTTCTTTTCTTTAAGTATCATTTTCATGAAGAAGGACAAAGCAGAGTACTTGCTCTTATCACTGGCTCAACGACGTATTTTGGCAAATAAAAGCATCTTTTTAAAGTTCCCTAGACTTTCACCGTAACTTTCTCACAACAACCTTAATAGGACAACACGATACTATGAAATGAAATGAAGCGCACACAGTTCAACTTCTTCAATGTCAAAGAGTGAAGGGGAGATTAGAACCCTTGCCTCTTTATACCCCTTTGCCACTAGGGGAGCTTCAGTGTATCTGTGCACCTTACAAAGAATGATGGCCAAGACATGGTGCTTCTCTAAGAAGCAAAATACCGTCCTTTGAAAGGCGAAGCCAAGACTACTCTTGGCCTTAACCATCATAGCTGATGTTTACAGAACCGTCTTAAGGATGTAAAAAGTGACTACATGTCTGTGAGATTAAAAAATAACATTTGGGCAACCCCTCGCATCCCTTCTCACTGTGGGAGCTTTTCTATCCTCTCAATAAATCCTGCTCTCAAAAAATGAGATGGAATGAAATTAAAATAATAAAATAGCATGTTAAGGTGCGAGACCTGCCCGAGGGGACAGTTGCCCTGTGTAGCCGCCCCCAGGAGGCCGAAGGGGCGACGACTGTTCACCGGCTTCCTGCCTACCTCAAGGGGTCTGGAAGGCCACCGCCTCCTCCTGGGATCCCTGCACCCCTAGAGTGAGAATCCGCCATGAGCTGGGCTGAGGGAGGGCTGCCACCCCATGTGAGAGCCATAGCCGCCGGAGCACATCTCCTCAACGGGGGAGGGCGCCGAGTCCCCGGCAGGTGACAGGTGTCCCGCCCTGGGCTCGCTGGTCCTGCGCGCCCGTCTCCAAGATGGTAACCGACAAGCATGAACTGATGGAGCACTACACTTCGGAGGAGCCCGTTCCTCACAATAAGATCTCCATTATAGGACCTGGACCCGTAGGCATGGCCTGTGCCATCAGCATCGTGTTCAAAGGCCTGAGTGATGAACTTGCCTTTGTGGATGTCGATAAAGACAAGCTGAAGGGTGAGGTCATGGATCTTCAGCATGGCAGCCCTTTCGTTAAAACGCCAAATATCGTTTCCAGCAAAGATTACGCTGTCACTGCAAACTCCAACTTAGTGACTGTCACGGCAGGTGTACAGCCACGCAAAGGAGAAACGCGCCTCGTCGTCGTCCAGTGAAATGTGCCCATCTTTAAGTTAATGATTTCCAGTATCACCCAGTACAGTCCCCACTGCAAACTGACAGTAGTCTCTAATACAGTGGATATTTTAACTTATGTGTCCTGGAAGCTGAGTGCATTTCCCGGAAATCGTGTGATTGGAAGTGGCTGCAATCTGGACACTGCCCATTTCCGAGTCTTCATTGGTCAAAGGCTTGGGATCCACCCTGAAAGCTGTCATGGGTGGATCCTTGGGGAGCATGAGGACTCAAGTGTTCCTGTGTGGAGTGGAGTTAACATTGCTCCATTAACATTGCTGGCTGTGAAGGAGCTGAGCTCAGAGATAGGAACTGATAAAGATCCTAAACAGTTGGGGAAGGTCCACAAAGAAGTGGTTACCTGTGGCTACCATACTGTCAAAATGAAAGGTTATACTAATTGGGCCACTGGCCTCTCTGTCGCTGATCTAACAGAAAGCATCATAAAGAATCTTAGGAGGGTGCATTCAGTATCCACCATAATTAAGGGCCTTTATGGAATAAATGAAGTATGGCTTAGTGTTCCTTGCATGCTGGGAGAGAATGGCATAGCAGATCTTATAAAGCTAAAGTCGACCACTGAAAAGACGGGTTTTTGAAAAAGAGTGAAGAAAATCTTCAGGACATTCAGAAGGAAATCAAGCTTTGAAGTTGTTTAAAGCCACCATTCTGAAGGTTTTGTTTGTTTTGTGTGGTAGCAATCATTTTATTTGAAAATTGTATCCGTTTAGTTTTACACATTTTTACTGAAAAACATTTCAAATATAGCAGCAAAATAGAGAATGTGATCACAAATTCCTGTATATCAACCACTTAGCCTTATCAGATCTTATCATTGTCATGTTGGTGTCAATCTTTATTTTTAAAGAAAAAAAATCCCACAACTACAGTTGAGGTGTGCACCCCAACTACTTTCTTCACTTTTCTCCAGCATTAACTAGTCGTGAAACTAGTGTTTATTATTCTCATGTATGTTGTTAAATACTTTTATTATACATGTTATATGAATACACATTATATCATATTGTTTCTTGGGCATTTAAGCTTTTTACAAATAGTATACTCAGTGTATTCTTCTTTTTTTTTGCCTTGTTACTCAACATTATGCTTTTGAGATAAATCCACACTGATAAAAGTAGCTCTACTACATTTGTATAAGGGCTGCATATTATTTCATTGTATCAATATATATTGCAATGTACACATTCTACTATTTTGCAATTACAAATACTTCTGAAATGCTGCAATGGACATCTTGTAATTTTTGCCTTACTTCCTCAATATTTGAGCTTCCTTAATATTTCTACCTAAAAGTATAAATATACTTTATATTAGCAAGATCATATAGACGTTCCTCTCAGGCCAGGCTCGGTGGCTCAGCCTATAATCCCAGCACTGTGGGAGGTCAAGGTGAGTGGATTACCTAAGGTGAGTGGATTGCCTAGGCAACTTGGTGAGACTTCGTCTCTACAATAAATAAAAAATTAGCTGGGCGCGGTAGCACGCACCTGTAGTTCCAGCTACTTGGAAGGCTGAGATGGGAGCATCGCCTGAGCCCAGCATGTTGAGGCTGCGGTGGCCAGGAGCGTGCCACACTGCACTCCAGTCTGGGTGACAGAGTGAGACTCCAACTCAAAAAAAAAAAAAAAAGAAGTTCCTCCTGGTTCTCAGTTGGTCCGTGTTGGGGAATGGGGTGGTGGAAGCCCAGTGTTTCCTTCCATTCTCTATGTGCCTATTCTCAGGTTCTGTGTTCACCTAGATTTTTGTTACTCCTTTGCACTCTAGCACTCTCCTTTAGTTTTTTTCTTAAAATATGGTTTTTATTCCTTGTTCTGGCTGTCTTTGTGGTGGGGTTGAGCATTTTAGGGGCTTCCAATCAGCCATCTTGCTGATGTCACTCTCAAGTTTTTAGAA